AATATATAATTTGAATCAGAATAAGGTACTTGTATTAAACTAAATAAAAAAGCTTTAATTAGGGCTCTTCTTAAAAAGACTTTAATTAGCTTAAATGATTAGCGTTAAGTTCATGTAGAGTTGCAAAGTGAAGATGTAGAAACTTGCAGAAATGTTTTACCCAAGATGTAGTCCTTAAAAGTTTGTAGAGTGAATTCCCGGGCGTGTATTCTCACCAGAAACACGATATACCCTGCAAAACTCTCGAAAAAAACTACAACAATGGGCGCCTCTCGAACTGTCGCGTTTGATGCGCTTTTGATAACTTGTTTGAGTTTGGTCTGAGCCGGCTGACATCTTTGTAGCTGCCAGCGGAGGACATGCCGCGTGACTTGACGCCCGATCCGGCTGCTATCAGGTTGATAAATAGTTGTGCTGGCATCCCAAGCATCTCGGGGCCCTTGGTGAGCAGCCTCCTTGAGTTACGAGAGCCCTTGAGAGGATTTAAATTAAAAAGCGTCTGCCAACCGATTTTTTTACCTTTCGAGATGCAAGTCGGACCGCGTTGGACTGCCAAAGGCGACCCAGCGCTGTGTTTCCTCACTTTTATTTCGCATGCAGCTGTTGCAGTTCCCAAGGTTCGCCTTTTTGTGTTTACACTTTATTCAATTTTGCAGAAACTGCAACTTTAAAATGTGGTGAGCTTTACAACTAATAGAGCGGAAACAGCAATATTGTTTGAAGGCGGAAATTCTTGATGAAGGTTGTTCTGATTAAATTTGAATAGTTTTTCTCAAAAATTTAAGCACTTGAAAGGCTTTTCCCTTAAAGCCATCATCATTCCAGTAATTCCTAATAATCCAAAATATGTAATACATCAAAGAAGTGGTGCTATCATACAGGGCGTATGCGTAATATTCCCGACAATCAGGGTCTATTTTCATTGGTTTTCGGGTGGAGTTTAAATGGCACATTCGGTGTCAAGTGTGTAACGAGCACCCATCGATGTTTACGGCGAGGATTTGTCCATAAATAATTCATCGAATAATGTAACAAAAGTGCGTCAAGAGCCCGCGCCCACTGCCTCCCACCCGCCACCGCCTGGCAGTATTGAATTACATGAGGGGACGCGTCTGTCGCACTCCGATAGAATGGGAGTCTACTTTTTATGGCACCCCGGGGAAATGACGTACTATGAATGCCAGTTTAATACACAAAACTTTGACAATATTGCCGCACAGTTAACACGGACACTACGACGGATACACATGCACTCCCACACGCGCCCTGGTCCGCACCAATACATCGGAGCCGGGCAACAGACATGTAACCAGACAAATGTGCGAATAAATTGCTATTTTTGTGCCGCTTGCGTCTATTGTTAGCACGGAGTACAGGCCATGGTTGTACACCCCAGTACACCCACATGCCCGCGGACGAATGGCAAATAAATGGCTGTTATATCAGCAAATCGATCATTTTTCCGCACTAAAGCTGAAATCATTGACTGGCTTCACTTAGGCCATCATTAAGATTTCAGCCAAATGGATGCGGTGTGTATCCGCGGAGGTCCTGCGTCACACAAGACTGGCCCTGGCGAACATTTATCAAGTGGCTGTCCAAGGACTGACAGGTCCTCGCCGGCCTATTTGCCAGCCGTGGCCCCCAGAAGTAGGCAACAGTTTGTGGGAAGAGCTTTTGGCCATGCCTGATTAATTACCCGGCGCCTGCCGTCATTTGCATGCATTAGCAGCCTGTAAATTGAAATCAAAACAGTCCACTGTCGAGGAGATAAATCCAAAGTCCTCTGTAACGAGCTAACTTCCCCCTTGTTCCTTGAAGGCCGTTTACTCAAACAAAGCCCATCAACCGCCACCTCCTCAACTGGTTTTATTTAAGTTTCGCGCTTTGTTTTTATTTGCCTTTAATAGGCGGACGATGGAAGTCCTCGTCTGCCACCAACCCGCCTCATGGTGGCAACTTCGGGGGCCGCCTGTGTTTGCTTTCACATTGAAAAAGTTTTTTCCGACGCTTTCTTCGGAGGCAGCGGCTCATAAACCAAGGGGCCGGGCCCAGATTCTCAGGAATCCTGAGCCTGAGGATTCCTTCCACCCAGGTGCAAATCAGGGGAGTGGCACGAAGCCAGTCCGCAAAAGTTTCCCAACAAAAGGTCACTGAACAATTGACAAAGTCGTCTTACCGTTGCCACTGTCTCGGGGTTCGGCAAACGCCATTTAAAAAAGTTTTACATAATAGTTGGCCCAGGCACTTGCCTACCTTTAAGTGCCCGTAAAGGTAGGGATTCCACCGATGCCAAAACAATGACGCCTTGCGCCATCCTAACCCAGGAAAAATCTGAAAGAAAAGGCAACCAGGTGGGCGTTTCAAGCCCAAATTCAATCGATGTACGCTCAATTAAAAGTTTCAATGTGGAACTCCTATTATCATACTGGGAGCGGCAGGAGCAGGAGTCTCAGACTGGCAGGTTCTAAATTTCTATAATTTTATATTAGTAAAGTAACGAATTTAGAAAAGCACTGTCTAGTATTATCATTTTTATGCTTTTTAGTAAATAGGGGAAATTTTATACTTCATAGAATATAAATAGTTAACATAAATAATCATAATCATTAAATCCGTTTCAAAGAATTTATATTTTAACAATTTTTAACACAACTTCTAAGTTACATATGAAGTTGATCAGAAAATGTGTTTAAAAATGACAGTACTATTTCCCTTCAAGTATAAAATGTATTAACTTTTAAGTTAAAGTATTTTTTAAAAATTTAAATTTCGAAAGCGACGCGTCGGTTTCAAATTTGGGATTGGTTTGGAAAATTGACATAATTAAATTAAGTCAAATAAATAAATAAATTATTTAAGTTAATTTAAATTTTTTAGGTTCTGATGAACCAGAGAACCTCCCCTTAACCAGGGGCCCCCCCCCTTCAGCAACCCCTTCAGAAACCTTCAGAAACTAGCCATTAGGAATGTTCCTAAAATATCTCACTTTAACAATTTAAATTATTTAATATTAATAATATTAAATTTAGCACTTTATTAAAAAACATTTTCAAATATATATGTATATTGAATTATTATTGTTATTTATTAATTGTTATTATATTATTAACACATATTGAAAATGTTTCGGACACATCTGAAACACATTGAAAATGTTTAATTATACAATATCTTATACCTTGTATAATAATCTTGGCTATTTCTACTGCGAATTATTCGTCATTTACATACGTGGGCTACAGTCCCCCATGACAAAGTTTCACATATTTGAAACGAAAAATTTGTCTTAAATTTGTCTTAAGGGATAATTAAAGGCCACTAAAAGAATGGACCGCGAGTCACCCCTCTGTGTAATGTTTTTTTTTATTTTGCACTTGCAGCCAGCTAATACGATAAAAAATATGTAATAAAGTCTTTTTTAATCCTTACCAAAAATGAAAATGTTTCTAGGATTAAGCCTTTAAAGTTTTTTGCAAAAACTTTTATCCAAAAATTATATTTTAAATTTTTAAAACATTATTCGTTAAACAATGTGACCAGGCGTCCGTTGGATAAGTGTTTTTATCTTGCCCGATTTTCGGTCACACCGCTTCCACAGTTCGTGCAACCATTGTACGAAAATAAGCAAAACAGGAATTTATTTTCCCAACAAATCGATAATTGCAAACGCAGTGCCGTTTCAATTGCAACAGAAACAGCAACGAAAATGTTGGTCAACGAAGCCAGGCAGATCCTGAGCCGTGTCGGCTCCTTGACGGCACGCCAGCAGGTGAGCGAGTGGCACCACAATCTTGGCCATAATTCTTGGGGGCTGGGCGGGGGCGTGTTTTGTGCGGTCTTTTTCTTTTGGCCAGTGCAGTTATATAAGATTGATAAAAGGAGATCAGGTGGAAGGTTTCTGCTTTAAACATCGCAGAAAATCTATCACAGTAAACTAATTTATCCACGAACGTCGTGGTTATGTAAACGTTTTGCACTTGGCATTGCGTGATCCAACTGACATTACGTTCTCTCTCGTTTCCCCATAGCTGCGGACTATTACCAATGGTACCGCCCAACTGGATCAACAGGCGCAGCCCAAGGAGGCCAAGGAGCCCCAAATCAAGAAGTTCGAGATCTACCGCTGGAACCCGGATAATGCCGGTGAGAAACCCTACATGCAGACCTACGATGTCGATCTGCGCGAGTGCGGCCCAATGGTGCTGGATGCTCTCATCAAGATCAAGAACGAGATGGACCCCACTCTGACCTTCCGTCGCTCTTGCCGTGAAGGCATCTGTGGCTCCTGCGCCATGAACATTGGTGGAACCAACACGCTGGCCTGCATCAGTAAGATAGACACCAACACCTCCAAGTCGCTGAAAGTGTACCCTTTGCCACACATGTACGTGGTTCGTGATCTGGTGCCCGACATGAACAACTTCTATGAGCAGTACCGCAACATCCAGCCCTGGCTTCAACGCAAGTGAGTAGACCTCTTCCAAACTTAGACCCATGTTACTATTATTTTTCCTTCTCTTTCAGAAACGAAGCCACCGAGCAGAAGGGCAAGGCCCAGTACTTGCAATCCGTGGAGGACCGATCCAAGCTAGACGGTCTTTACGAGTGCATCCTTTGCGCTTGCTGCTCCACCTCGTGCCCCTCGTACTGGTGGAACGCCGAGAAATACTTGGGACCTGCCGTCCTCATGCAGGCCTACCGGTGGATCATCGACTCGCGAGACGAGAACTCCGTCGAGAGGTTGAGCAAGCTAAAGGATCCTTTCAGTGTGTACCGTTGTCATACCATTATGAATTGCACGCGCACCTGCCCGAAAGGCCTCAACCCCGGTCGCGCCATCGCCGAGATTAAGAAGCTGCTCTCGGGATTGGCCTCAAAACCAGAGCCCAAGCTGGAGACGGCGGCGCTGCACAAGTAATCTGACCGAACCCCTTTTTTGTTCTTAACCAGTTCGCTTCGCGTTCGCAAAGCTGTATAGACAGGACCTACGACCTCCCTGCTGATTATGTTTTAATTTATTTAAGCTTAAAGTAAACGGCATTGTTATTGCAGTTAGTAAAGGGCGCGGAAATAAAAACGTATTGTGTATCCACTAGATTCAGAGACTTTTGAAGCGGTTCATGGTGCCGTGGGGGAAGTTTCGTCGTTCATCTGAATATCATCTGCAGAGTAAAAGTCCTGTGTGACTGGGATGACGCGGTCGTTTGTTTCGTCGTCCTCCTCGTCGTGACTGTCTGTGTCTTCGCTATCGTCATTTGCTGAAACACCAAGCTAATGAAGTAAAAAGTTTAAAAAAAAAAGGGTCCGAAAACTAACCATCTTCGTCGTCGGTTTCTATGCCCGGTATAGTTAGCATCTTCCCTAGAGGCTGCAGGTCAGTTCCGGCTGTCTTGAGCGATTCGCGCTAAAAAGTCACAAATGGTAACCAACTACAATCGTAATTGCAGGACTAAGAGCTCACCCAGTTGCTGCGCTCGTCCTCGTACCGCCGAGTCTGCGCCTCCTCGCTAACCGATGCCGGAGCCATATCAAGCCAGTAGCGGTTCGCTACGGAAACTTTAAGCGAAGGAAAAAACGGAATCATGGACATGGCGTTGGGAAACAATTGTTCGTTATTTGTTATTGTTTGCAGACGCCTTTTTCGCCGTCGATGGCGAAGAATAACAGCGTTGCCAGATGTTGCACATGTCCATCTCTAATAGGTATCTCAATAACTCACATCGCTTATTAAAGAAATTAATTTTCATTTTGTTATTCTTATTTATTGACAAATTGTTTATTAAAAAATATCTAAAAAAGTATTAAACACAAGAACACTGTAGTTGAGAGGACGCCGCCGATTTACTGGTAATATAGCTCCAAGTTCATGCCATCGTGGATTTCATCTGCGGAAAAGTTTTTGAAAATATAGTGTCAGATATTTTTCAAAGATTACAAAGACATACAGTCGGATAGGCGAATGGGGTCCTTGTAGATTGTGTACCATTTCTTCAACACAATCTTTTCATGCTTAGTGCCTGTTTGTGCCGCAATGAGTTTCTTCAGGTCGCCGATTGTGTCGTCTGGATTGCACTTGACGCGCACCTGAAGAATAACAAAAGTCAGTCAAACAGTCCATACCCATTTCATATCTACAACGTTTCAATTACCTTTTTGCCAAGACGGTCGTTGCACGTAATTTCTATCATTTTTACAGATATGCAGTTGAAATCAGAAGTGTGTTTTGTTGTGGATACGAGCGATGTAGCCAGATCGATTGGTTTTATTATGTTAGCAGTATTTGGGGTGAACCTTTTCTAAAATTGTATTGAAAACGTGCATTGTATTTACTGTAAACATACTTGCAATAAATTCATTATATTTGTGCAGAAATATTAAGGGTTCTTGTAAATTTTTTACGAAAAGAATTCATAAATATTCAAAAAAATTGATAAAATTTTGATTAATCGATAAATCAACAAATGTTAGACAGTCGATGTTTCGATACAATAATCGCTTCTGTTACCAGCTCTACGAAACGGCACCTTTGCTTCAGTTAAAACTATTTTTAAAACCGCCGCGACGCCAGGAAATACACAATATTTTGCGCTCACCAAAGTCAACAGAATTTATTAAGTGCTGAAGAACCTGAATGAAATAAAAGTATGCATATTTTTTGTGTGAACTGCTTAGAAAATTGCCTCATCGTGATTGTGATTTTGAGTGTTTGTGTGTGTGTGCGTGCCCCGTTCACCAACATGTTAGTCGCCGCTATGACGCAGCTGCGGAAAACTTGTTTGGGTTTCCATTTCACCGAAAGCGAGTTGGCTTTGTTGCGAACCCATTTTTGGGCAGCTCGTTCGTATTGATTATCGCGTGTTGTTTGTTGATGGCGTGGTTGGTATGGACTCCCGAGACACCCCCACCCCCATTCCACCACCCATCGTTCAAATGTATGCTCAAAAGCCGGAGCGTTAGTTCGGCGATTGCCGTTGAGGAATCTCCAAGGCAAAATAAAGCCATAATTCTCGCCGCACTCCACGGTCACTGGCAAGCAATTCGCGAGCTAAATATGCTTCGTCTTATTTATAGAAGCGCTCTTTCTAGCTCGCCGACTCATCCCTCATTGCATTCTAATAAAAACCGGGCACTGCGCTCATTTCCACAAGCAGCGTATTGCATAATTGGGCATTAATGTATGCTCAAAGCTATTATGTGTGTCTTCCAAAAAGCACTCGAGCGTTAATCGGAAAGCTACGATTTAAGTATGCCAGACGTTTCGTCATTGGCCTCCTTAAGAAAAACCCGGGGAGGTACAACATAGCCCATCTGCCTAATTGTAAACAACCCACGCCTTGTTCACGCACACAGGCCCTCGCAGACGGCGCTAAATGTTTATTCCAAATGAATCGCTGCCCATATTAACGTTTATGCTTGCCTTCTCTTCGCCACTTGCAGCCGAGCGACCTTTAGCGGGCCCTGAATCACGGAGAGAGTCGGATCATGAGTGAAGATACCTACCAGATAGAGACGCGACGGCGGTCCCGCTCCAAGACCCCCTTCCTTCGCTCCAGCTGCGACCACGAAAACTGCGAGCACGCCGGCGAGGAGGGGCATGTGCACCACCACAAGAAGAAGTCTTCTGCGGCCCCCAATGTACAGTAAGTACCCCTAAAATAGAAACAGCTACTTTGCTTATCGCTTCACATGCCAGAGCTATCAAAAATAGGAGCATCCGGTGGCATATAGGGATTCCAGCTCCTGGCACGCGATTCCGATCCGTTAAATTAAGAAGGCGGCGGGCCGCGTCACAACTATACCGAAAACAATAACCCCATGCGAAGACTCCATACCAATGCATGTGCGATTGTTTGCACCCATGACGTCACCTCCTTGTTATTCACGCTCGCCTCAAATTTTAATTTCGAAACGGCTGCCAATGTGTTTGGGGCTATACAGGGTGCGGGCTTCGTCGACGAGCTTCGTTTGCTTTTGGCGCGCAATTCAGATCTACCCGAGCGACTGGTGAATCGACCGAACTTCGTTTTGGATTCGTTGATGACGACATGCGGGGGTCCGCCGTTGGCCATCATAGATTTTATTCACGTTAGCCACAAAAACGACCTGGTTGGGGCGGGCGATAGCTGTGGAATTGAAGGTCACCTAGGTTTATGAGCACATTTTTGTATTTTTGTTTTGATATGTTGCTTTGGGCAGCTTCTCATTGCCAGGGCCTGGTTCTCACTAATGCGCCTGATCTCTTTTATCGTAGAACGATCGTAGAGGAGCATGTGATCGAGTCGAGCCTCAACCTGAAGGCCTACAACAAGGCCTTCGCTCAGCTGACCTCGGACTATTCCAGCGACGACATGACGCCGGGGGCAAAGCGTAAGGTGGCCACGACCAAGACCACGGTCACCACAGCCTTCACCAAGCGGTCAGGAGGCGCTACTTCTACGCCGCGGAACAGGAGTCAGCTAGAGACTACTCAAAATACACTGAACTCCGTGCAGGAAAAGCTGAACCAGTCGAACGGCAACCTTAGCTCGAACAATGTGAGCGACTACCTGGCCTACATTGAGTACCGGGATGCGGGTGAATACTGGAAGTGAGTAATGCCATTGCTGCCAAAGATCATTAAATTAATGCTCGTTATTCCTCTCAAAGCAAAACTCCCAAGACGGATTACACCTATTCGGAGCTATCCCCCCACCGACGCCAACTGGCGCCAGGAATTGTGGCAATGCCTAACATGTCTCGCAAGAGCCTTGGAAACCATGACGAGCGCGTCAACTATATGGTCCAACAGAACCCGGAGCAGGAGGAGTTTATTCGCCGGCGCTACCAGGCCAAGTACACCCAGCACTTAAACTACGACTCCGCCGACGAGCTGGACGCTACCCTTGGACAGAAGCAGAAGCAGAGCTGGTGGCTCGTGCGACTGATTCAGTTGGTGGTAACCAGCATCACCACCGTGTGGACTCGCATTACGAACGCCTCGGCCACGGAATCGAACGCATATCACACCTACTACGCTAGGCGTCAGACCAAACAGCAAGGCGGCGTTCTGGCCCGAGCGGCCCAGTTCGTTGGAGGCGGGGTGGCGAGTCTGCTTCGCTATGTTTACATTTTTATTGGATCGGTGCTGAGTCTGGACACGTGGCTGCTGCGATCTTCGAATGCGGAAAACAAGTCCAAAAAGCGTTTCCTCATCTTGTTGCTGTTGCTGCTGCCCCTTCTACTGCTGACAGGTGAGTGGCCTCCCGAGAACCATTGTCAACACACTTGCCGATGCAAAGTGAAATATGTTTGAGCGTGAGGCCCTGACCTTCAAGCGGATCGCCACCCAATGTCGTCCGTATTTCGTTCACCTCCATCGGATTTATTTATAATGTCGTCTAATCGTCGACGCCATTATGACGTCATTAGACAGTTGTGGAAACTACACGGAGGGCCACGAGATTACATATTTCACTTTGTCTCCGCCATCTGCCGTAGAGCAATACCTAATTCGATTCACCTTTGCAGGTCTGTTCTATTACCTACACCCCAACGAATCCTTCCCACCCAAGTCCATAACCGAGTACACTTTCACCCTACCTGAGTTGCCCAAAGTCAACGTGGGCGACTACCTGAACCAGGCCCAGTACGAGGCGCTGCGAACACAGGCTGCCGAGCATGCGGTGCGCGTGCGGGACTGGGCGGACGACTATTTGTTGTACCTCAGGACAATCGGCCAGAACGTGGTCAACAAGGGGCGCCAAATATTTCAGGCCGACGATCAGGTCTATTATGAGCGTGTTTAGGGAGCAATTGGAGCAAGGAGGCTATCGTTTTATTGTCGAACTGCTGCAGCAGTTGCTTATATGATAGGATCTTGAGAGAAACCGCCTCTGTCCGCATCCACGAGCACGTGGAACCTTCTTTATGAACAATTCAAGTACAAACTAAAGCATTTCGTCCGATTGTCGTCTGTCTGTTGTGTCCACAATTCGGCCCACCCATTATATATGTAGTTTTTGATTCCACATTGACCTCCTCTCATACACACACCACCCATCTACCCATATTACTAACCCACACAATTCCCCACAAAATGCAACATCACAGGCTGATGGGAGAAGGATAGAGCTCGCCGCTGTTCAGAGTCAAGAATCAAGAGTTTTTGCAATCATTGATTTGCAATCGTAATTGTTGTCAAACAACGTTTTTGTAGTTCGTTTAGTGTTTGCTTTGTAACAGTCTATACAAAAAATAAATGCAAACAATTTAACACCAAACAGTACACAGAATAGCTCGTTTTATTTGCCATTTGTTGGAATCTGCGAAATGGTAAGTGAAATGTAGAACAAGCATATTAGTTGGCCAGTCATGAACTCTATCCTTCTGCATTTGTGTGTTGGAATTACCCCTTCGAAACGAACTTTCCCTAACCTTAGTCCATATGCCATTGCAATGTAGAAGGATCGCCAACTAATAGAGCTATGTTCTGCCCTCTTTCGGCCAGGCTGGTCGCTTTTGCAGGAGGACCAGCGTGTGGGCTACGTGCAGCGGGCTGAACTGTTGCTTCCTCTGCCCTTTACCCTTTTGGCTTCCCTCCAAGGACATCTTCTGAGCGCTGGATCCACCGTGAAGAATTGGCTGCCCGCCGTTAAGATTCCTCAACAAGAACCGGAAAACATAAAGCTCAACATAGCCGGCATTGAGAAGAACATACAGAAGGCCTTGACCGCGGAGGAGTACGAGAACATCCTAAACCACGTTAACAGCTACATGCAGCAACTGGTAGACCTCAAGCTGCAGCAGCACGCAGAGAAGCAGCAACAACTGTCCCCGCAGCAGGTGCAGATTATTGTCCAGCTGATGAAGGAGAATCTCCAACAATTCGCCGCCACCAAAACACAGCTCAGCGAGAAGGATCTGGCTGACTTGGCCCTTAAGGTTAAGCTTGAGTTGCAGAACTCGGGCGTGTGGCAATCGGAAGTGAAACTCACCCCCGCCAACTTGGAAGAAATTACCAAACTCATTAAAACAGAAGTAAACTTACATCAGTCCCATTACACCATCCAGTTGGAGCAACTGGACTTTGGGGCGCTGCTGGAGCGCATTCTAGGGGCTCCTGAGCTGGCCGATTTTGTGGATGCCCGCATCAACCTACGTGTACACCAGCTGGAGACCAAAGAGGGCTCCGGAACCATCGCTGCCGAAGAGAAGATAGAACAGTTGAACCGAGAGGTAGCCTTCATTAAACTGGCCCTCTCCGACAAACAGGCCGAAAACGCCGATCTCCAACAGTCGCTCAGCAGCCTGCGGCTCAGTCAGGAGGACCTAATAGAACGCATGCAACAGCACGAACTGTCCCAGGACCAGCGCTTCAGTGGTCTGCTGGCCGAAATCGATGCCAAGTTGGCCGCTCTCAACGATTCACAATTCGCGCTGCTCAACAAGCAGGTGAAACTGTCTCTGGTAGAGATTCTGGGCTTTAAGCAAGCTACCGCCGGCGGTGCTGGGAGCCAGCTGGACGACGTAGACTTGCAGAACTGGGTCCGCAGCATGTTCGTGGCCAAGGACTTCCTGGAGCAGCAGCTTCTGGAGCTTAACGAGCGCACCAACAACCACATTCGGGACGAAATAGACCGCTCCAGCATTCTGCTGATGAGCGATATTAGCGAGCGGCTCAAACGTGAAATGCTTTTGGTGGTCGAGGCCAAAAACAACGAGAGCGCCGGGGCACTTAAGGGCCACATCCGCGAGGAGGAAGTACGCCAGATCGTTAAAACCGTCCTGGCTATCTATGATGCTGACAAGACTGGCCTTGTAGACTTTGCCCTGGAGTCGGCGGGTGGTCAGATTTTGTCTACGCGTTGCACCGAGAGCTACCAGACCAAGTCGGCGCAGATATCGGTGTTCGGCATTCCCCTGTGGTATCCGTCCAACACGCCTCGGGTCGCCATATCCCCAAATGTGCAGCCGGGCGAGTGCTGGGCCTTCCAGGGCTTCCCCGGATTCCTAGGCAAGTCTCCACATAATGTACTCAAAAATGAACTTACTTAAAATATCCCTTTGTACAGTGCTTAAGCTGAACTCGCTGGTGTATGTGACAGGATTTACCTTGGAGCACATACCCAAGAGCCTTTCGCCGACTGGGCGGATAGACTCCGCTCCCCGCAACTTTACTGTTTGGGTAAGATTTTCCCGAAGCGCTGTATTGTAGACATATTAAGATCATGGTCATTCTCTAGGGGTTGGAGCACGAAAAGGACTTTGAGCCCGTGTTGTTCGGAGAGTACGAGTACCAGGACAACGGAGCTTCCTTGCAGTACTTTGCCATCCAGAACCTGGACATTAAAAGGCCATACGAGGTCGTCGAGCTGCGGATCGAAACGAACCATGGCCAGCCCACCTACACCTGCCTATATAGGTTTCGAGTGCACGGCAAACCGCCTGCCTCATAACGTGTCCCCATTCCCCCCATCACTGTCAGGTGTACATAGTATGTGTGCCTTATGAAGGAGATGAGAAGTCAATAACTAAGATAAGGCTTTTAAACCTGTGCAGACTATGTAAAAAGTAGGCTATAGCTATTAAGTATTTTTGTACCATATCGTAGGTGGACTCAAGTGCTTGCAGCCCGTAAGGTTATTTTGTATATACTTATTTGAATAATCGGGCCCTGCCCAATGTCCACGTTTTGTCCTACATTATTTATTTAGGTTTAGTTTGCTTCTCTATGAAATCATACACCAGTTCCTTTAAGTCACCTCTTATAATATAAACATATATTATAGTTTTGCCATTGAAAGCGTTTTGAACTAAATAGTCATAGCTCGTTTAAGCCGTATGCTTGCTTTATCCCTACATTTTAAGCTACACTAAGGATATATATTGAAATGGCCAGAAATCTGAATCTTACTTAAATTAATCCATTTAAAACAGCCAATTTACATCTGAATGAATCGCCACTACCAATCGAATGCAACCCACACATATCTGCCACAACTATTTTCAAGATATCCTCGTTTGTATACGTACACTATTGTTAAGAGTAAGCCCAAAAATAGTTTATAATTCATTTTTTGTTACTGCTTGTAAGTTTACTTAATTGGTATAGTTTGCAGTTAAGTCGTTTGTTCTTTAAGGTCCACCAAAATCATGAAATAAATGCGTTGCACGAAGAAAAAATGTTTTATTGGTTCAGTGTTTTGCAAAAAAGTTGGTCACATGGGCCAAAAAAGAATAACAATTGCATCCGACGTGATGGGAAAATTCGGAGTATGAAGAGGTTATTAGAAGACAAAAATCCATAGGAACGAGGCCTTCGTTGCAATTAGAATGCGTGTATTATAAAACTTTGTCGCCCATCAGGCATCCCTAGAGTACTCGTACTTACATGTATACATAACTTTTTATACCCTGGCAGAGGGTATTATTTTTGGTCAGGATCAGGATCAACTCCTATATAAGCTTGTCCGTCTGTAATATGTTCTACAGTTTCCGGGAAACTTTGTTGTTGAAGATAAAAGCATGGAATTTTTAATTCAAAATGGTTTAACATGATACTGTAATTAACTTAAAGGTCAGCTAACCTGGTTAGTGGTTATAGTTAGCTATAACAGCATATAATTATTTCTATTACAAATATTTCAATATTTCATTAACAAATTACATATTTCAATCCGATTTAAGTATATGTATCAAGTAATAAAAACTGTTACTTACCCAAACATTGGCTCGACCCGCTCTAACTGAACCATTGACTTATTTAGTCGCTTTAACGCAAAGCAAATAAGTTTAATAAGAATAAGGACTGTTAAAATTTAAAAGTACAACCCAATATTCGTTGCCATTTACACTAATTCTCCATTAATTCTTTTTTAAATACGATGGATTTGTAAGAAAATTGTTTAATTATTATTGTTTATATACATATAATCAAAGGATTATGTCTTAAATTAGGTCTCTTAGGAGTTTAAAAAATACGACTTTCCCGGGTGAGCTTGTTTTTGAAAAACAAAATTCAAATTAAAGAATGTATACATTTTCCAACACTAAATAGTGTGTAAAAGGTATTTTTTGTGCGATTTATGCCTATGACGACTTGGCCACACTTATGTAAAAGTGCATCTCAATATTTGTCGCCAATATTTATTATGCTACAAAAGTGAAGAATAATTGCAAATAGAGGATCGTGATGGTTTAAAGTGTGCGACCAAACTATACAAAAGTGCTGCCAAACAAAAATGTGATCTGAAGCTTTCCACTAAAAGACTAAGCAATAAAATTGAGTAAAACAGGTACAACGCTTTGTCGCTTATTTTTGTTATGCGTAGCACTTTTTATTTAAACAAACGCCTTTATTCGTGGAATTAGCTCGCTATAAATAAGTAGTTGCATCCCTTATCTTAAGAGTACTTCACAGATTCTGTTCGGATCGCCAGCAGGAACCAGTGACGTGACGCATCTTTGTTGGTTTTCCCGATAAACAGCTAGCCCAAGAGTTAAAAAGCTGGACGACCGCACCCCCACCTCAGACAAAGAAGAACCCGCTGCATAATGCCGATTTTGTACAGCGTCATCTCGCGGGGCACGACCCCCCTGGCAAAGTTCGCCGATTGCGTCGGAAACTTTGGAGAAGTTACGGAGCACATCATCGAGCGGATTGACCTGCGTAACAGCAAGACCACCTACACTCACGGCGACTACCTGATCCACTACACTTGCGAGAACAAGCTGGTCTACATGTGCATCACTGACAATGTGGGTGAACGAACCGGCGACCCACTTGCCGCGCTGCTTAATCAATAATGGTTTCTTTTTAGGAGTTTGACCGGTCGCGGTCTTTTCTCTTTCTTGCGGATATAAAGCACCGGTTCATCCAGACGTATGGGCTGCAGGTGGCGACGGCCATCGCCTATGCCATGAATACAGAGTTTTCGAAAGTCCTGGCGCAGCAAATGGTCTACTTCAGCTCTTCTCGAGAAGTTGACACCATTTCGAGGGCTCATGGCCAGATTGAGGAGCTTAAAGACATTATGATTAAAAATATTGGTTGGTTACTAATACAGTCTGAATTTGAAACACGATACCAAGCACCGATTTTTCGTTTTTTGCAGACAGTCTGCGGGACCGCGGTGAGAAGCTGGAGCTGCTTGTCAACAAGACCGAAAATTTGAGCAATAATGTAAGTTGAAACCAACTTGGTTGGGAAAGATATTTATTTATTTATCTTTGGCAGTCCGTTGCATTCCGCAAGGCCTCGCGAAATTTGGCGAGACAAATGTTTTGGAAGAACATTCGCATCTATGTGGTGGTTGGACTGGTGATAACCTTCATCATTTATGTGATCGTGAGCATGGCCTGTGGCGGCCTCCTCTGGCAGTCGTGCGTTTGAACCCCTCTCTTATTGTTTATGTATTGTTATAGGCCCATAACACATGTATATTTGCATACAAACTCTACGGTACCCTCACTATATATGTTATATTTAATAAATGCGAAAGTATACAGGATTATGTTCGAAATGCCAGCAAAGCGTTCAATTGTCCTCCACATACACCACGTCGTTTGTCTTAACCTTGCCCGGCATTCGCAATCCCAAATGAATGCCAAGAGCCGGCGAGCTATAGTTGAACAAACGATAGCTGTTGAAGGAGGGAAAGCCAGTGATAAGAAGAATTTCATTGTTTTGTATTTGCTTTGGGTGACTCACCTTCTCAGCGTCTTGAGCGGCTCTCCATCGCTATCGCGCTGGGCCGTATTTACGTCAATGTTCGGAAAGATGCATCTGGTGCAAGGCGCAACCGATCGAAAAACTGCATTTTCCCCAATGCGCACCCACTTCCAGTTGTCCTCTGCGTAAGGTAAGTCCTTGTCCATCTTCAGCTCGAAATTACCTCGAAACTGCAGCGGGTCAACAGGATTCTTCAGCCGAGTGTTTAAATCGGCCACGGACGCCAGGTTCATAAGCATATAACTGGTGGCATCGTTGAAGGTGCCCTGGGTGAGAAATATTTAGCTTTTATGGAACATTTTATGGAATACAACTTTTAGCCAACCGAGTCCTCCTGCCTGAGGTAAGGCATGCTCTTCAATCGGGGATTGGTTGTCCTCACAGGCATGGGATAAGGATAATGCACCAGTTTCAAGCCACTCTCCTTCTTGAGGATGGCCTGCGAGAACCACTTGTTGAAGCGATCTCCACAGACCATCACATCTATGGGCACACCCCACACCGAGGTGTGCACATCCTTGCCAGGACTCTCCAGGTTCTCAAAGTCCAGCTCCAGATCAGGCAGCTCAGCGGCGCTGAACAGGATCTTAGTATCCCCTATCTTCTTTGAATGGATCTGAGTCATGTGGGGATAAACGCGCGCTGTTATCATCTCGTTGTTGTCGTTGACTACCATCAGGGTGCGATCCCTGACGCCCTCGAAAGACAGACTGAGCACATCACAATCGAACGCCTGGTCGGACTTTGAGATCTGCATGGGTGCACACGACTTGACCGGAAAGAAGTGAATCCGTTCGACGGTGCCCACGCGCTTCCACTTTTGGGGCATCACATCGCGGGTTAGGTGGCGGTACAGCAGGAAGCCTGCTCCGCCAACGGCCACCAGTCCAACACCCACGCCAATGAGGGTCTTGGGGCTTAGGTCAAAGGACGCATTATTCGCGCTTGCTAATGAATATTTGGAATTACTACGATTTCAGTACCCTTTTTCTGATTCCCCACACCTGCCATCTCCTTGTTGCTTGCTGATCACTTGTTGCTTTCTCCGCGTTAAAAGCTCCACTGATTAGATTGGTGGCGGATCGCAGAAAGCTTTCTTTAAATTGCTTTGTAACTGTGTGTACATAAATTAAGGCTGGACTTGATCCCGATTTTAAACAGATTTAATTTTAAAGTGGCGGTCTTAAACTTTAAAGTATGTATCACATTCTTTTTTACAATTTGTGATGAACTCTTTAAAAGTCGTTTTGTTTTGTTAATACAAGTCTGGTAATTCATTTTAATTGTTATCTTAATTAAAGGCCTTTTCTAAAATAACATTTTTTACTGAAAGAAATTAAATAGTTCAAACTACAAGCCTTTTTATACGCAAGCTTTTAATGTTAATTTGAAAAAACCGCCAAGCTCTCGTCGTTGCAACCCTGAGTTAATTTGGATGTTTGCTGACTTTCTTCTTCTTCTTGAAATTATTGTTAAAAACGAGCCGGTATTCTTTTGTTTATTTCACTGTGCACGGTAGTGCACATGGGGCCAAACTGCAAGCCTTAGAATTAAAGAATTAAAAATGTTCTGTTTATATTATATGGATTTCTAAGGTAACCGCCAATTCATGATCTTCGCCAATTCATGATCCTTCCCAAAATGTCTGATCAACAACTTCAGGATGAAACTTTGGAAAAATCAGATTCAACTCGCAGAGAATCACATCCCGATCCTGATTTGGATGTGGGCAGCGAGCAGTTTAATCCGCTACGTGCCCTCTATGAACCCAGCTACAAGATTACGGAGACAGCGCCTAAAGTTCTATACCAGAACTTGGCCGCCTTCGATAGTGCCTTTAAAAAGTTTGGAATTTGGCAATTAAACAAGCGGCAAAAATCCGCACCTCCACCAAGCACAGGATCAGATTCAACACCGGCAACCAGTTCGCCTCAAACGGTCGAGAAAAAGCCCAAATCTATTCCGAAATTAGCGAATTTCGAAGTGCCAGAACGCCGTTTTGAGCTTCATCAGATGCCCACGTTGAGAACTTTAAACAAAAAACATAGGCGGAATATTTTCACATACATGGAGGCATCCTCGGGACCTCTAGCCCTTTTAAAAAGCTGTGTGCCATCCTCGGACAAAACGCAGCCAACTGAGGCAACACGAATTCGAGTGGTTGTTCGGAAGCAAGGAAAAGTTGGTGGAAGCGTGGAAGGGGAGTTGGTGGCCTTCGACAAGCAATGGAATCTACTTCTGCGAAATGCCACCGAGACTTGGAGGAGAAGAAAACATAACTATGGACACCAGAATATCTGCGACGAATCCGTAGATTGTAGCGAGAGGTTCAAGGAGCTAGGCATCTCGCTTCCGAAGCTAAATGTGAAGAGCCTGAACAGAAAAAACGTCGAAATTAAGCGAGATCTGCCACAGGTTTTAATACGCGGCGAAAATGTGGTTCTTGTTAGTTTAATTTCTAATAATAATTGTAAATGATAGTTGTTTTTATATTAACTTGTGTACTCCATCGGCACGCACTCCTCGGCAGCAACCTCATGCGACGGCGAATGTTCTCCCATCAGGTGGTGCAGTGTCTCATTCGAATAGCTGAAATATTAAAATAGTATAGAATAAACAAATTTCACAAAAAAAATAAATTTTATTACCATTTGGAGGGGCTTTCATCGCTGAGCATGGTCGTGGGGACAGTGGCCGAGGTGCACTCTTGACTCATTAGCTCGATTGGAGTTGGACGTCGCTCCTGCAGCTGTCGTGCAATTTCCGCTGTACTTAGCCCAGGAGAGACATCCTTCGGCACCGTGCTCATTTGCATTAGTTGCTGTTGCTGAGATGGGGAAACTGTGGCAGTAAGCTGTCTCTTGGGTGCAGCCTGCATTCCCTGGTTGGAGGGATGCATTCCAGTCAAAACTTTGCGTCTCCTGCCTCGCGTGGCACCCACTGTGGTCATGTGCGGGGACATTCCTGGCGTTCCAGGTCCTCCCTTGTCCTTGTGTTTCTTGCGAATGGCTTCTTTGGGTGTTTGGGAGCTTCCAGCCGCCCCGGAAGTGGAAGCTGGCTCAGAGTCTGAGCTGTCGGTGGCATCGCTGTCGCTAGAGTCCTTGGCGGGCTTCTCGTACAGCAAAAGTCTGTCCAAAAGAAAAGTGCGATCTCTCGAGACCTTAAGAAGTCGACGTTGATTGGTGTGCAGCAGATCCTGGAAGTACTCGTTTTCCTGCAACATGAAAAGTTTTGAGTTTCTTTCCGTCAATGTAAAAACAGAGTCCCTTACGTAGATAAGAAACTTAAGTTTCTTTTTCAGGTTTTTGTAGCGCTCCTTATAATCCACTGCCACTGTTCCTGTCCCCGCAGAAGCCGAGGACGAGCTGGCGGCTACTCCTCCTCGAACAGCCACCTGTGAACGGCCCCCTACCGGCGCTGCTGGCTCCTCGTCGCTGTCCGGCGGCTGGGGCTCCTCTTTCACGACGCCCTCCTGGTTGGCTAGGGACCGACAATACCACCCTTCCAACATGTTTTTGAAAAAATGCTTTTTATTTTATTTACTGAAGGTGGAGGAACATATAAGAAAACGCCGAAAACGATAAGGTATTATCGATAACATATCGAAAACATTATCCGCGGTCAGCGTTGCCACGTGTTTTATATGTTAGCGCCAAACTCCAAAGAATTTAAAGTTTGTAATATGAAATAATTTCTTTGGTGGCGGCTTGGATATTTTTAAAATTAATCCAATTGTAAGATACTAAGATTACTTTATTTTGTTTATTGGATATTCATGAAAGATAAAAATATAAAAGGGGTTTTATTTACAAGTCAAAGTTTAGCATATTGCGATTCATGCACCACCATAGAGGGTTGGATGTCTTTTAGAGTTTGGCTGCCAATCAGAGCCATGGTGATTTCAAAGTCCTTTCTCAGGATGCTAAGCATTTCTTCCACACCCTTCTGACCATTGTAAGCTAACCCCCATACGGCTGGGCGGCCTACAAAGACAGTTTTAGCTCCGAGGGCCAAGGCTTTGAAGATATCGTTGCCCTGAATGATGCCTCCATCCAGCATGACAACCAAATCGTCGCCGACGGCTCGAACAACCTCTGGCAAAGCCTCAATCGAAGCTGGAACCGTATCGATTTGACGTGCTCCGTGGTTAGATACGATTACGCCGGCACATCCGAATTCACGGGCCAAAACTGCATCCTCGGCTGTCAATACACCCTTCACTACAATGGGGAGGTGCGTGATGCTCTTCAGCCATGCAATATCCTTCCAGGAGATAGTGGGATCGAACTGGCTGGACACGTACTCGTTGATCCCCGAGGCACCCATGTTGGCACTGGCGACGCCAGTGGCTTTAATGCCCTGGAAGTTGGCAAGGGTTAAGTGCGAGGGCAAGCTGAAGTTGTTGCGCACATCCGCGCGACGATGTCCAAAGATCGGTGCATCAATGGTCAACACAAGAGCCCGGAAGTTTGCTTTCTCGGCACGACGTACAAGTTTTTCGGTAATCGTACTAAAATTTTAAAATTTGCAAACATAAATTGGTTGAAAAAAGTAACAAGACAAGTCTCCTACCGATCCTTGTAGATGTACAGCTGGAACCACTTAATGGTTTCTGGAGCACCGACTGCTAAATCCTCCAGCGAAGTGGTAGACAGCGTGCTTAGTATAAAAATGGAGCCGGCCTTTCCGGCGGCTCTGGCGTTGCCAACCTCACCATCCGGATGAGCCATCTTTTGCATGGCAGTAGGAGCAATGCCCAGGGGCCACTTCATCCGCTCCCCAAAGATTTCACAGCTAATGTCCAGGCGAGAGACATCCCTCAAGCAGCGCGGTCGTAGACGTAGACGACGGAACGCCTCCCGGTTTAACCCGAGAGTGAACTGTTCTCCGGCACCGCTTCTGTAGTAGTCCAGGGCATTCTTCTCCAAATGAGCCTCTGCCTTCTTCTCGAAATCCTCCACACACACCAAAGCCATATCTGTTACGTAATCTAGGCAATGGAAATATACAATATTTGTCGACACCTTTCGCCGCACCGCCCAAACTAGAACTAAACCCACGGAGATTACGTTCCAGCATCTAGAGCTTTGCCTTAGCTGGGTCCATAAACCGATAAGCAAGCAGGCTGTCTGCCGGCTGCAACTGATAAGGGAGCTCTCACCTAATCCCAGCAGAGAGGCAGACAGGTCTTGCAGAGATCACCCCAAAACGGGACGACGCAGATTCCCTGCTCTACATGGGGGGTAGCCGATCAAGTTTGAGGTGATAAGTGCTGACTCTCGCTTTTTTTTTTGGCAAGATCAAGGTTAATGGACAACACGTACCTTCTTCCTTCTTTCCCGAACGACTAATGTGCCATTTACACAAAAGACTTACTCATTGGTTTTCGATTTCATGGGTGGGTTGCACTTACAGGTGGTTCCGTCGTTGCGGTTTGTGAACTATTAACAGGTTTATTGAAAAACAAAGAAAATTGTTTATAAAAACTCATTCTTAGAACTAGTTAACCATCCGATTGTGAATTCAAACACTGTACGATGCCTTAAGGTTATTAAAGTACTCCAGATCTGTCTTGCTGATCGAGGGCACGAACTTATTGAAGGACTTGGTGAAGTCTTCCGACTCCACGATCACATTCTCCGGCAGAAGCTCCTTCTCCGAGAGAGAGCCACCCAAGTGTCTATCAATAGTTCGCCTCACTGCCGAAAGCCAGGCATTCGAGCAGATGGAATACAGGTCCGCCCCGCTCATCTCGCTCTTTAGGCTCTCCGCAATCTGGTCCATGTCTACCCCAGTAGCAAAAGCAAATCGCTGGGTTTGAGCGCGCAGCACGGCTGCCTTGTCTTCAGCAGTGGAACAGGGTCCCACGTAGAAGAGTTTGTCAAAACGACCCGGACGTAGCAGGGCAGGGTCTATCAGATCCGGACGGTTGGTGGCTGCCAGTATGAATATGGGCTTGCTCGTATCCCCATCGCTCATGCCGTCCATTTCTGCTAGAAGCTGCGACACCACGCGATCCATGACACCTCCAGAGTCCCCAGCTACTCCTCGATTCGGGGCCAGGGAATCCAACTCGTCCAAGAAAAGAACACAAGGAGCTGCCGACCGGGCACGAGAAAATACCTCGCGCACATTCTGCTCACTTTGACCCACGTACATGTTGAGGAGCTCCGGGCCCTGAACAGAAAGAAAGCTTAAATTGCACTCCGTAGCCACTGCCTTGGCGACAAGTGTTTTTCCCGTTCCCGGAGGTCCGTAGAGCAGTATGCCCGAGCGACGTAGGTTCTTGCCCATCAAATGGACGTGCTTCAGCGGCAGTCCGATGCTGCTTTGGATCTCATCCTTTAGCTTGGCCAGACCGCCGATGTCCGACCAGTAGACCTTCGGCACTTTTGGAGCTCCCAAACTGTCTGCAAACGAGCTCTGCATGTCGCTCAAGTTTTTGGCAAAGTGCGAGAGATCTAAGGTACTCCTGCCCAAACGCTGCCGGCTCTTCAGCCGCACAGCATTATCGTATAACAGTTGTAGATCGCCCAGAAGGAATCCTTGAGACTTTGAGGCCACCTCTTGCAGCACGTCCAGAGTCTTGCGCCAATTGGGTCTTACTCGCGACATGAACTGGGACTGGTTTTCGCGTGAGAACAGGGGCAGCCGATCGATAGCCTTCTGGTTATGGATTATGTCGTTAAAGGTCTCGCGAACATGCATCCACCGAAGAATCTCGAAGCGCTCCTCTTTGCTCGGCATTTCAATGCTGATGATCTCTAGAAAGAGGCTTTGGATCATGGGTTTCAGGTGTCGGTCACTCGTCAAAGCCACCACAACAACAGGGTGCTTGCGATCCTTCGTAAAGAGTTCCTGCACCTGCACATGAAAGGCCGAAAGCAACCTCAGATCCTCATTTCCTTCGTTATCAATGCCAAAAATCTAAAAAAATACTGTTTGAATTAATTTATAGAAAAAAATGGAAGTTTTTACGGACCTCAAAGTTATGAAAGCATATTATGAGCGGTTCACTGACTAAACTCTTGGCAAAGACAGCTTTTAGTTTCATTTCGGTATGCGAGGGAACCTGAGAAACAATCTCGGCGCAATCTACTCCATAAAGGTGCATGCCCAACTCCTGGGAAACAGCGTTAATGAGCTTGGTTTTGCCGGCTCCGCGCTCGCCCTGCAGCAGGAACACAGGAAAAATATGTTTTGAAGAGAGACATGCTGACTTCTTAGGCAGGAAGGCGTCCACCGAAGAACGCAGCAGCTGGTAAGGCCTTCGTAGGCCAGTTGGGAAGTTCTCCACGATGGCTACCTTATCCAGCACTTGGCGAGGTAGGAAACTGTGTGCGTGGGGCACCTGGACCAGATTGCTAAAGTTCTTGGCAACCACTGCCTGGAGCTCAAACTCGCTGCCTTTCGTCTCTAGATGTATGCACTTTATGAACACATGGCGTAGATAGGCGAATATCAGGTAGTAATGGGCATAGGCAGAAGTTCCCACTAGATCGGCATTCACCTCTATACGATAGGTGTGTCCCCGATGTAGGAGACGTGGGGTGTTAAAGTAGTTGCTCAGTATCAGTTCAGTCACTTCGGCGGGCAACTCATGTGGATCCGCCAGCATGTAGACATGTGCTTTGGTGGCAATACTCGGTATGGCTTGCTCTTCACTAAAGTGCTCTAGCTGCACCCAACAGTTGGAGCGGATGCGAAAGCGCTCCAGGATGTTGCCATAAAAGTTTTCCTAAGGGGAACAATATACTATTAACATTAATAGCTCAGTATATGCAAAGGTACTCACCTGGATATAAAGGCAGTTGGGTTGGCACTGAGCCACAGGGAGTATCTGGGCCACTATGGTATGTGGAGCCTCCTGCAGCATTTGCTTAATAACTGTTTGAGGCGTTGATGTTCCATTGGTCAGTTTCTCAGCTTTTCTATTTCCTCCACGAATGACGATGTTAACAAAGTTGACGTCTGGGGATTCTGCATAATTATCGTACACCTCCTGACTGGCGAAAACCAGGTGCTCCGACTTTATGAGTTCGTTTTTAATTAGCAAATCGTATAAGCGATTCGGAATGGGCGTCAGCATCAACTTGCCCTTGTAATATTTGGCGTAACGCCAGTATACGGCATATGTCAGATATCCGGGGTAGAAGAACCAGGGCCATTTTGGCGCCAGCAGTTGTACGGCAGAGTTATAGCCCTCAATCAGCTCCTGCACGCGTCCGGAGAAGCTGTACCTCGGCTGGTTGGGATCCTGTTGATCCAATGCCAGCGAATTCCGCTTGCTGGATATCTTTTTCTGTTGGGATTCAATGGATTATTAACATATAGGGAAAATACAGCCGCATCTGACCTACCATGTTATCATTTTCATTCATTATTACACAAAAGAGCGACGATCACAACAAAAAGCACAAGTACAAGGGTTAGTTTTGAGACACGGAAAGTCAAAGTTCAAGGAGTTGGAAGGGGTGGCACTGAATTACACTGAAATAAGCAATGGCAAGATTAATACCGTTTATACAGTTAAGCGCATTGACATAATAATGCATTTTATTGCGTTAATTCCCCCATTAAGATATATTTTACCTTTTTTATAATTAATCTCTTCTTCATCTCTTACGAATGTTATGGTTTAGGTAAGAGATGGTATGCCCAAATTGGGATGTGCGTGCAGGGACGTGACACGAGAAAACCTATTTTCAAAATATTATCTTATCAATTAAATTTAATCTGAAACTTATTTTATATATTTATTTTAAATACATTTTTTAGAAATAATAATATTCAAAGAAGGGTCAACAATGATTTTCTTTCTGGCCCGTTTTAACAGCATAGCTCTGTTAAATTTGTGCAGTATTTTTGGTATTTTCCCCATTAAAAAATCTCCGCGGTGTGCCATCGTTTTTAGTTGTCTGGGCACACCACAAGAAAAACAAAATACGGGAGGAGCATAAAACTTTATTTTCGCCGCAAATGAGTTTAGAAATGAGCAATATTAATGGCGGGAACGGCACCCTACAGCCGAAGCCAAAGGATATAATCGCCCTGTGCAACATTTTGAAGAAATACAACTTCAAGAATACGGAGGAACTACTGTGCCAGGAGGCCAACTTGAGGCCCGAGGATTTGGGTTCTATAAGTGAAGCCGAAGTACAGCAGGTGCTCAACTCTGCTCTGCGACCTGCAGATGGAGATCAGGATCGAGAGCATGACCTTCCGCAGAAGGCGAAGCTGTCGGCGGTTACAGAGGCGAATGCGACAGAGGCACTGGCAAAATTCATTGGCGACGAAGGCTTCGACGCGCAACAATATGAGCAGGCCTATGAGGAGCTGCGCGCCTTCGTGGAAGACTCGTTAGACATATACAAGCACGAGCTGTCCATGGTGCTGTACCCCATTCTGGTTCAGATATATTTCAAGATGCTCGCCAGCGGTCTGAGGGATAAGGCAAAGAACTTTATTGAAAAGTACAAGTGCGATCTGGATGGCTACTACACGGAGGGCCTTTTTAACCTGCTTCTTCTCTCAAAGCCAGAGGAATTGCTGGATAACGACTTGGTAGTCGCCATGGAACAGGATAAGTTCGTTATCCGAATGTCCAGGGACTCCCATTCACTGTTCAAGCGTCATATCCAGGATCGCCGACAGGAGGTGGTGGCCGATATTGTGTCGAAATACCTGCATTTCGACACCTACGAAGGAATGGCTCGCAACAAGCTTCAGTGCGTAGCCACGGCTGGGTCCCACATCGGAGAAGCCAAGCGGCAAGACAATAAAATGCGGGTCTACTACGGCCTGCTCAAGGAGGTAGACTTTCAGACGCTGACCACACCAGCTCCGGCGCCGGAGGAGGAGGACGACGACCCGGATGCCCCCGATCGTCCAAAGAAGAAAAAGCCTAAAAAAGATCCCCTCTTGTCGAAAAAGTCCAAGTCGGATCCAAATGCTCCCTCCATCGATAGAATTCCCTTACCCGAGCTCAAGGATTCGGATAAGCTGATTAAGTTAAAAGCTCTGAGGGAGGCCGGCAAGCGACTGGCCCTAAGTAAGGATCAACTTCCCTCCGCCGTCTTCTACACGGTCCTAAATTCGCATCAGGGCGTGACATGCGCCGAGATCTCAGACGACTCCACGTTGCTGGCGTGCGGCTTTGGCGACTCAAGCGTGAGGATTTGGTCCCTGACACCTGCTAAGCTGCGTGCGCTCAAGGATGCGGATGCCTTGAGGGAGTTGGACAAAGAATCTGCCGACATAAGTGCCCGCATGCTGGACGATCGGAGCGGGGAGACGACCAGGTCATTTCTGGGTCACACCGGGCCCGTCTATCGCTGTGCCTTTGCTCCAGAAATGAACCTTTTGCTGTCGTGCTCTGAGGATACCACGATTAGGCTTTGGTCTCTGCTTACGTGGTCCTGCGTGGTCACCTACCGAGGTCACGTTTATCCCGTGTGGGATGTCCGTTTCGCACCACACGGATATTACTTCGTGTCCTGCTCGTACGACAAGACAGCTCGTCTGTGGGCCACCGACTCGAATCAGGCTCTGCGGGTCTTCGTCGGCCACTTATCCGACGTGGATTGCGTGCAGTTTCATCCTAATTCTAACTACGTGGCCACCGGGTCCAGTGATCGCACTGTGCGCCTGTGGGACAACCTGACGGGCCAGTCGGTGCGCTTGATGACGGGTCATAAGGGATCTGTAAGTTCGCTTGCTTTTTCGGCCTGTGGGCGGTACCTGGCCTCCGGATCTGTGGACCACAACATCATAGTCTGGGATCTGTCTAGCGGTTCACTGGTCACCACTCTGCTGCGCCACACCAGCACCGTCTCCACAATCACGTTCAGTCGCGATGGAACTATTTTGGCAGCCGCCGGTTTGGATAACAACTTGACCCTGTGGGACTTCCATAAGGTAACCGATGACTATATCAGCAACCACATAACTGTGTCGAACCACCAGGACGAGAACGACGAGGATGTATACCTGCTGCGCACGTTTCCGAGTAAGAACTCTCCGTTTATCAACCTGCACTTCACCCGCCGCAACCTGCTCATGTGCGTGGGTCTCTTTAAGAGCTAGGATCAGAGTTAGGATTAGTCGCTATACGTAATCTAATTGTAAGCAGCGCACGAAACATCTAAGATTAATGTTTTATATCACACATCTTGGATTAGAGTTTGTAAAAAATAAATTCATAAATGTACATTGAGAAGTCTATAGTGTTGGGTCCTTACACCTAAATCGTATTTATTTTTAAAGAATTGGATATACACAAGTGCATAACATACAGAAAGTATCAACTAATCCGCGTCCGGTATGCCGAAGGTTCGGCGCACGGCGACCGAATTCTTGATGTTGTAGATGGCGCAGCGCGGGGGCTTCTCCCCGCCAAAGGCCAGCGTGAAGGGATCCTCGGGACACTGTCGCATACACTGAAGGCGACCCATATTGAACTCGTGCTCGTAGACGTGCTTGGCCTCGGTTGTATCGAAGTTCCACACCTTGAGCGTGCCTTCCGTGGAAGTGGAGGTCAGTAGGTTGGGCACTTGGCTGTTGAAGCACACCCCTGAGATTTCCTCGTTGTGTGCCTTAACTGACCAGAGCCATTCGTCGGGTTTCCGCTTATCGGCGTAGTGCAAGCTCCCGTCACTGGTGCCCACAACAAAGTAGTCGCCTTGGGTGGGGTGCCACAGAACCTTCTCCACTTCTCCAGCCGCCACCTTCCACTGGATGCTCGAGGAGTTCACTGCTTCGGCGTCACGGCAGTCGAAAAGTCGCACAAATCCGTCGGCACAGCCGGTAAGGATGCTTTGGGCCTCTGTGGAATGGAATTCCAGCGATTGGACTTTCTCGTCGAAGGCAGTGATGACGGTGTGCGGCTGTCCTTCATCCATATCCCAGAGGATCAGAGTTTGGTCGACCGAGCCACTGGCCAGAATATGCTCGAAGTTGCGGTTCCAGGAAAGATCCAACACGGCGTCTTTGTGTCCATATTGCTCCTTGTTCTGCTTGCGACTGCCTTTAGAGCCCAGCTTAAAGGTGGGTTCAATAGAGTCCTGGATATCCAAGTCCCAAATGGTTATGATCGGGTCCATGCAGCCAATGGCGCACATATTACCGGCCCTTTCGCTTCCAGCATCGTGGTTCATCCACTCGATGCAAAGCGGGAAACTGGGAAGTAGAAAGTCGTGGTGTGTGTAGAGCGCCTCCTCTTCTTGGTTGAATACCCAAACCTCCATCGAGGCGGCGTCGTCCTGGACGTGACCTACCAGGATCAGATTGTCACTTGGCTTTATCACCTCATCCTCGGCTTCGGAGTCCTCGTCTTCATCGGGCACTTGCTCGCTGGCAGTCACAATATTGGCCAGACTGGTAACATTTGCATTCTCCTCGTTGTCATACTCGTTGAATTGGAACTCATCTTGGGGATTCCGGTTCTCGCTGTTCGCGTCCTCATTGTCGTCCACGTCCATGTCGTCAGCCGCCTCATTTCCCTCACCATCCTCGTCGTCGCTTTCGTCATCCAGCTGCTGCCGTGTGTCTCCGATAATCCTGGCCAACTCCTCCTGGGTCAGCACAATCTTGTCAGGGCGATCCTTGGCCACGCCACGGGGCACGAAGCACAGGGCGGGCACAAAGTCAATGTTCGCTTCAGGGGGACCTTCTTCAGCCATATTCTTCGGAAAACAATATTTGAAGTTTTCTGATGGAATTTGAAATGACAACACGTGCAAGTCGGTCTCAGAGGGGCCAGAAAAGTGTCATCTCTATAAAAACAGCCGATGAATTAGCGGGAAAAAGCTAAAATTGACATTACAGTTACAGTATCATTAACATTTTGAAGCATATTCCTCTAGTAAAAAGTAAACAGTATAAATCTAAATGTTAAATTTAGGATTAATATTGAAAAGAATTTTTCATTTCTGTGCAATTTCTTTTCAAACCTTGAATATATTTTAAAAAAATAATTGTTGGAGAGTAAAAACAGTTCCTGAGAAGGCCTCTTATCTTTTATCCGTGCATTTCGCTATCTTTTACAGCTGATCCCTGCCATATTTTATTTAGACAGATTTTATTATCGACAAAGCATCTTATCTTTGATATAATTGTGTGTTTTGAGCCAATCGGATCTCCAGTTGTTGGTTCTGCTGCAATGGATACACGCAAATTTTCAACCCACGTATTGGACACTTCGCTTGGAAAGGCTGCTGCAAATGTTCGGATTACCGTCTCCAGGCTGGACGAAATCCATGAGTGGAGACCTCTTCGGGCGGCCCAAACCAATGAAGACGGCCGTTGCCAACTTTTGGAGCCTGGCCAGTTTCAGCATGGAATTTACAAGCTGACTTTTCACGTGGGGGCCTATTTCGCAGAGCATAATACGAGAACCATTTATCCGGCAATTGACATAATGGTGGATTGTAGTGAAAATCTGAACTATCATATTCCCTTATTGCTGAATCCTTTTGGCTACTCTACATATCGCGGCACCTGAAATTATATTTTTGAAAATAAATTTGTCCATATTGTGATTTTGAAATACATTCATTGACTTTGAAAAATTATTAATTTATGTGCAATTGTTTTTTGATAATATTGTAAATATTCATTTTTGAATCAACACAGGGTGTTTAGGGTATGACACGATGCAGCGTCAGTGATGATTTTTTTGAAAATGTTAAAACTATCGATTTTTCTACCAGCTCGATTTTATGCGATGTATATTGCATATCGAAAAAGTTTCAAATGTATTGGACGGATACTTTTAGTTGTATCTGACGGGTAGCAGTGAATGACGGTTGTCACGGGAGATTCGTGGGTTCGCACCGCTGTCGGTTTTTGAATTGAGTGTGTTTGAAACAGCGATCGACTCCAGTGCTCGCCGGTGTTTTTTTGAAAAGTTCAAATAAATTAAACTTGAAATACTCAAATCCAGCAAATATCAAGTGTAGTTAGTGCTCTTCATTGTGAGTGTCGGATTCTGCGTTCGTTTATCTGCCCCCCTCAGAATTCGCCTCCCACTGAGGCGCGCAACAGTTGTCTTCGAAGGGCCGGGGCCGGCGAGCAGAGCCAAAGAATCTGTATGGATTTGATATCCGTGTGTTTTCAAAGAGTTAAACAAGAAGTTGGGTTTGTTATTGGAAAGTACAAGCACTCCAGCAACGGCCAGCACACATAGACACACACTCCACTCGATGCGGCCGAGCCAACAAATCCCCAACAAATCTTAAACCAGTTTTAAGATACATATTCTTGGTGTCAGTGTGTGCATGTTGATTTTTTCTGGCATTGTTTTCGTTTTGTGAGCTGCTGGCTCTGCATCTTTTTTGTGTACCCTTTTCGCCCGTTTTTCCACCGCCGCCACCGCTGTAGCCGCTGTTGCCGCCGTTTTCCCCCCTAATCGCGTTTCCATTTTCTGGCCGCCGTCCAGGTCTGGGGTTTGGAGTTGGTGTTTGAGGTCCAGCAGAGCAACAAGTACCCCGGCCAAGTGCCCACCAGCCAGCCAGCCCAATCGAAGAGAAGCCAAAAAGCGAAAAACGAAAAAACGAGCTTAGATTCTAACGAGATCAGCACGCCAGCAGTTGGAGTAACCGGGCCCAATTGGACCAATTTGAATGTTGGCCCGTTCCAGTAGGCCCAAAAGTGTCTAGCAGCTCCGTCATTCATTCAACGAATAAATCTGAAAGGTAAGCGGGGAAACAGTCTGATAATCTAGTATTTTATTAAAGAAAAAATAGGTTTTCTCGTACTATCTTTATTGTCTTTTTTAAAAATAAAACTTTTTGAATCTTTAATTGATGTTTTTGCTAAAATCCATGTTCTGAGTTAATTGATTTGAACAAGATGTTATCCGAACCTGTTAGATTATCAAAAAAAAACAATCACTTTCATTATTCATGCAGAATTCAAGTTCTTGAGAACGTGGGAAACAATCTCACGAAAGTATTTGCAAAGTTTAGTGTTTTGTAAGATGTAGCCTGCGGGAGCATTACCTCACCTGTCGATTACCTGGGACACTTACGGGCAATTTCGTTTACCTAATAATTGAAAGTTCATAAGTCGGCATTAAAACGCAATCAAAATGACAACCTGCTAACGGTCAATCAATCAAGCAGGCCGCGAATGAAAATGTAAATGTGGCAAAAAGCCCAAAAATACGCAGATATGTAATTGATAATCGAACCGCCGATAAACACTTTCCTGGCCCCCAGCTCTGGGACCGAGCCGATCATTAATAACTGTAGTCAAAAGTCACACAAACACAATGCCAAGCTTTGGGATACCGTTAGCCCCGAAGCCGGGCAGTGGAAAAGTGTCAAAAATCGTAACCTATGTGGATATAATTTGCACTGACGTAAAGCCGAGGCCCGATACGCGATGATCGTTAAATGCTGAAGGCAAATTAGAGAGCGGCTAAGCGGGCAAAGTGCAGAAAAGAAGGCAAAAGTTGGCTCAAGCCAGTCGAGGCGGCCCACAAGAAAATGGTGGAAAACATGAAAAATACTCGGGCAAAAACCTTCGAGTCTGCGAAAAGCATGCTGGGCATGTTGTTTGTCGTCGAGTTCGGCTGACGGCGCAAAATGGCAAGAAATGGTAAGAAATGGCAAGAAGAGAAGCTCGAAGCCTCTTCCGTCCCTGTTGCGCCCTGGTCAGGTCCATGGGCCAGATGAAATGGCAAGAGCAAACAGGAAATGAACCCGCATGCACTTTTTCAAGTACCCTTCGTTCGAATTCACTGGCCGATTGCACTGGCCGAGTAGGGACCAAGGAGCCGGAGACCCAGACGGAGACAGAAACGCTTGAGCTTGAGCTTGGTCTAAAGTAAATTTTGTCGTCATCGTCTTGTGTTTCTCAGTGCGCCTTTGCCTGGCAGGGAGTACCCTATAAAGGTGCAGGGAGGCCTTGCGCTTAATTGGTTAGGCAGAGATAGTTTTTAATTGGATGGTACTAACGCTCTGGAAAATAGCTATCAATAGCTAGTACCTTAAAATGGAAATATTCATTCTTTAATGTATTTCTCAACTTTTCAACTATAAAGTGAGAGGAAAACAGATTTTGTACCTAAATTTCGAAATTAGAAAAATTGGACTACACTACAGTTCATAGGTTTCTTTAAAGGTATAAAAAAATTTCTCATATAGTCAGTTATTACATATGTATATTTATAGTAAAAATTAAACCCAAATAAAAACCCTCCCACCCACTATAAAAACCTTAAAAAAAATTAAGGGCTAACTTATAAGGTCGGAGAAAAGAAAAGTGTGTTTTTTAAAAGCTTCTTTAATCTATGTGTAGCTATCTGAGATCTATATAGGGATTTGAAAGCGATATTATCGATTTAAAAAAGGTATCGCTTAGTCGAACAAGCCATGAAATCCCGAACCTTTTAATTTTTTGCATTTATTCCATTTCGTTTTGTTAATTTCCATGCATTTTCAGAGCTTGGGCGTAGTTTGTGTTATTTGCAATGTTTGCTCAGTTGTGTGGGCTGGTGTGTGTGTGTGTGGATATGGTTGTGTGTGCGGTTGGCCAACCTGTTCGTATCTCAAGGAATGAGTCAGCTGGGGGTTCGCATCCATGAGATACAATTCGAGTGCCCCGACACCAACGCCGACCCCGACCCCGACCCCGACCCCGACTCCAATCCCGACGGATACGAACTCGAGTGTTTGCGAGGACATCACATGTGTCGGAGAGCGGGGTCCTTCTTCCTTTTTGACCTGCACTCAAGCGTTTATCCGCCGACGGTTTTGATTATTTTGTTATGTTTTGTTCCCTCAGCTATGTCTCATATTACCCGGGACATGGAGTTATCGTATGTGTTCGGGCTGCTTTGTTTTTCTCCCATTTGTCTGCATTTCCCTTCCCGGCGTTGCATGGGGCCACTCTGAATGCGTTCAATGGGTAATTTCCGATAAGCCAGCCTTTAAGATACATTTTGTGGATGAAGCCTTATCGAGTGTTGTTTTTAAGGGGGTTTTTAACCGAAGAGTTTTTTGAGTAATTTCTTTTACAGGAAATACAAATTAATTTATACTAATTAAGTTACTGGGGAATATATAAGAAATAAAGAAGTTTTTATCAAGTTAGAAAGTGTAGAAATCATAGCTACAGTAAATATAGGCCCTAATACTTTATTTCTGGTTAGTTTGTTCTAATAGAGCTTCTTCTTTAGGGGTGTCATCTATTCTTGACAACCTAGTCCTTCCAGTTACGAAGGCTTAAGTTTAATTTCAAAATTAAAAGCAAGGAAAATAGTTAAAAATACTTTTTTAACTTTCAACAGACCCTAATAGGCAAAGAACAATAGATTGGAGTCCCATGAATTAGTTATGTGTTTTAATATGTGATTTAATGTGTTCTAATAGATACAAATACCAATAATTTATTGGAATGATTCTTGATTTCTAGGCCTTGATTAAATAAAAATAATCAAATAATAAAAGATAATAAAAGTATGGATGCTCGCATCGAAAAGAACACCTGCAGACGACCTTGACAGTCTCTTGGCTGCGAGCACTTGGCACAGTTACTGTGTTTGGCTGTTTGGCAACAAACGCGCTTTTGTTGGCCAATGCTTACCGAAAATACAATTGTTTTGGAGAGCGCTTAGTACCTTCCTACCTAACATACTTACCCGCACTTGTGCCCCATGCTCCGCGATGGATTGCAGCAGGTGGCGTGACTAAGACATTCCGCCACTCCGCCACGGCGAAGTGAGTTTTTCAAAATTCGAAACTAATTTCAGAGCTGGCTCGTACTCTCGTCTGTGGCTTAATATTATTGTGCTGCTAACGAGGCGAGTCTTCCAGCCTGGCTCGTATTTTAGTCAATTTTGTTTTTTATTTTCCTCGCACATACATATATACTCGTATTATAGTATATTTTTATATTCGCGCACACATACCCACTTTTATGGTTTCAGCATTAAAAAAATGTGGCGCAAAATTCAAACAGTGAAGCGTAATTGAAAAGGCATGAAACTGCATCATGGGCGGTGCTGGGCGGCAGTGGGAGGGTGTGGAATATTAGTGGCTCAGAGCCCGGCTCAAGTCGGAGTCAGTCGCGCACTAAATCCCAACGGTAACGCACCCATTAATCACACAAATCGGCCCAAAGAGGAGCAATGAAAACAGCCAAGACGAGCTTCTCCTCTGGCGGAAAAAGTGGTATTAGCCGAGCGGCAAAAGCGAGTTGAAGAACGGCAGCCACTTGGCCAAAAGATGTTCCTGAAACATGGCCAACAAGTGTTAATTAAAATTTATTGAGTGCCCCCTGCCTTGTCTCTGAAAACATCAGATATTGCCGGGATGAGTCATCCGCCATTCGCGAACAGAATGCGATCACTCTCGTCGGAGGTTGGCCTTTTAGGCATCTAGTGATTTCATGGCATAGTCTCTGAAATTTCAGGGCGTGGTCCATACACTCCCCACAAAGTCTAATTAATTCGAATTGCGTTGTGCCAAACAGTTAGCTGTCGCTTTTCGCCAATTTTGTTGGCCGTAATGGGCGTAATTAAAAGCCTTGTTAACGGGTGGGATGG